ATATTATAAAATGATAAAGAACTTTTTAATTTAGCTTATGGCGCTCTACTCTTTCTAGAGCGTTAGTAAAATCTTTATCAATTATTCTACATAATTAATAAACTTTTATTAATAATTATATAATAAATATATATTATGTAATTTTTTTTTAATTTACGTCATTTGAATTCATTTTTGGGATAAAATAATATGAAATTAATGAAATGCATTCTAGCATGTGTAAAATATATTTTGTTGATAGGTAGAAATAATTTATTATTACAACTTCTAAATATATATGTTGTTCTTAGTTACTACTATTCATCACTACGCAATACAACACGAACCTTCTTTTCAAGATTCTTTCATTTGTCTTGCCTATTCTTTTCGGCACTGTAAAGTATTGCTTTTTTATTATACGAGCGAACAGTGTAAGTTTAAAACAGTATAAGAGAATTTTTTTCGAACATATTGTTGTAACCTTGATACAACAAATTGTATTTTAATATAAAGAAAGGTATAAGGAAAAGTGGAATAAATAGGTGAAGCAAATGCTGGAGCGGCACCGAGACAACTGGAAATTTTTTAAAGATAAACTGGAAATTGATATTATAAAGAAATATTCTTATATCGCGAGACTTATTTCAATAATTCTGATGGGTAAGAATAGTAATGTTACTGCATCTTTCATATATATATATCCCAGACCGGTCGAATATTTCATAAACTATGCACTTTAGAAAGAAATGTTTCAGATAAAAGTTGTATGGCTTGAAGGAGGCCATCAGATAGTGGCAATGATTTGACATAGGAGAGTCATTTGAAAGTCACGTGAAGATCACCGTCAATTTCTTAAATGGAACTTCCTATTTTTTATTAAATATTCTAGTAGCTCACATCGAGAGCTTCCCAAAACACTATAATTAAGTTAGTTTTCATTAAGTACTTTTCGAATTGTGAGGCTTGAAATCATTTTTTAATTTTACATCGTAAAATATCTTGCAAAATATTCATTTTTCGATTATCTTACCTTAATACTTTTATGTACAAAATAATGAGAGGAATCAATTGGTAAAGAAAAAACATAGTTGTTTTTAAGAAAAAAATATTATATAGTAATTTGCAATTAACAATTACATTTTTTTTTTAAAACAACTATGTGTTTTCCTTACACCAATTGATTCCTCTCATTATTTTGTGCATAAAAGTATTAAGGTAAAATAATCGAAAAATGAATATTTTACTAGATATTTTATGATTTATGTAGAATTAAGAAATTATTCAAGCCTCATAACTCGAAAAATACTCAATGAAGAAATACTTTATTATAGTGTTTTGGAAAGCTCTCGAGATAAGCTAGAATATGAGAAAATGTAGGTTCCATTTAAGAAATTGAAGGTGACCTTTACGTCACCTTCAAATGACTCTCCAGGATCAAATCATTGCCACTATCTGATGGTCCCCTTCAAGCCATACAACTTTTATCTGAAACATTTCTTTTTAAAGTGCAGTTTATGAAATATTCGACCGGTCCGGGATTTTTCGGACACTCTGTATATATAGTCGTATAGTTTGTAATAAAGATAACATCAATATAATATATGTAGTATGTATAATATCAATTTTTCAATTACCAATCATAATTTTTTGTGATCTTTGTAATTAACAAGATAAAAAATATTTGAATATATATTCAATATGAAATGTCGTTTAAATTCTTTTGTATTTAGGTATAAATTAGACTTTGACATCAATTAGATTTTTCTCAGGCTTATGCTGTTTTGTATTAACCGTGGCCGTAATACTTCAAACTTTTCCGCTAATATTTGATTTTATATTACCTTTGAACGAGTCACGTTCTTGGCAATTTTTTATCGTTACGGAATATTTTTTCAATCAAGAGAAATATGTATACGCAATACTATTACATCATATCCTAGCTATATCCATAGCAGGAGTCACAGTGTGTAGCGCCAGTTCGACATTCTTAATGTTTCTCCTACATATATGTGCTCTATTTAATATCGCAAGGTAATATTAATTGCACTTGTTTCTTAAATCGAATCTTATGTCTAAATGGATTTATACAGTCATCATATAGAAAATGCGATGAAGTGGAACATATTAGCAATATCTGATCCTAAAAGAGAGCATCTCCTTTACCAGAGGATTGTACATGCAGTTATTGTACATCGTAGAGCCATCGAGTGAGTGGTTTTATTTTTTTATTGCTATAAAACTTTGCACTCCGTTTTTTTGTGTTATTCTTAACTCTTAAAATCGCGTTATTGTTACACATGTTACTACATGTTTAATATTAAATTGTTTATTAATATATTTTTACATTAAGTGAAATCACAATTTTACGAGCAATTAAAATTAAAATTAAGTACCTTTCAAAAAATGAAAATATATTAAAGATTTGCAATTTCTTTCAAATATGTGATGTATTTGATAAACATACATATTTAGATTGTTAAAAATATATTATCTTTTTGAAGTGGAACTTTATATAGATAATTACTATGAGGATTAAACGTACAATCAGAATCACATTTATTTATCACATGGAAAAAAAATGAATATATCAATGTTTGCATCTATCTATATTGATAATGTAACAATTTTTTATTGATAATATAACAATTCTAATACTTCTCGTTGAAGGTTTACTAAGTTTTTCACATCTGAATTTGCTGTATTATTTGCTATTCTGATCTTAGTTGGTGTCAGCTCTTTAAGTTTAACTCTTTTACAAGTAAGCAATATTTTTTCTTATCTATTTTGTTTAATTGAATTTTCTTTAAGTACCATTTCATTGTAGTTTCTTCAATTGATAACATTAACGGGTAATGTCACAGAGATATTCGTATTTGCTTTGTTAATTTTGATTCATTTAACTTATATGTTCTGTGCCAATTATGCGGGACAAATAATAACAGATCATGGAATAAAGCTGTTCAAAGCAACGTGAGTAGTGTTTTTTTTTGGCAACTTCATGCGTACTGATTCTCACATAAATCCATCTGTTAATTTTGGTTTATAATAAATCAATTGTATAAAATATTTTTCTAATACTTTTAAATATATAGTTAATATAATAATTAGATTACAAAAATATGTTAAGTTTTTTGCTAATTTTTTATTTCATTTAAAATTTACAGTTATAATGGAATGTGGTACGCAGCACCACTGCATACACAGAAAATGTTATTATTTATAATGCAAGAAGGAATAGTGGATATCAATATAAAATGCGGTGGCATATTTACTGCTTCCTTGGAAGGTTTTGCTACGGTAAAATTAAAAGCTTTTTTTAAAACAAATTATAATGTCGAACTAACAGACTTATCGAGTAGTTTAATTATAATAGTTCGCATCCTTTTTAGCTCACGAATGCCGCAGTATCCTACTTTACAGTGATTTATTCTACGCGATAATAATGAACTAGGATAATTCATTATTTATCGGCTACATGTTTAAATTAACATAACATAATTAACATAATACACACATACACACACACACACACACACACACACACACACACACATACATGCACACACATAGATCTATACATATAAAGAAAAGATAAATATGCATATATGTCCATTACAAATTTCTGCAATTTTATGTACTATATATAAATATATATTCTTTCAATCTTATTTCCAAATACTAATTCTAATTACTTCACTCTTATTTCCAAATATTAATAAATTTAATAATGCAAATTTTTAAAGAGATTGATAGAAGTATAATCTAGTTTGAGAATAATATACCAATAATCAAACGTCGAAACAATTATTAATCATATATAAGTTTATATATTAAATAATATCATGGACACAAAATATAGAATGCGGTAACATATTTACTGCTTCCTTGAAAGGTTTTGCTACGTAAAATGGTTTTTTTTTAAATAAATTATAATGTCGATTTAACGAAGACGATTACCAAATATATAAAATGTTGATTTGACAAGCAATTTACATATGTATCCTTTTTTAACTCGTAAATGCAGCAGCATTTTACTTCATAGTGATTTATTCTATACACGATAATAATTAGAAAGGAAATTTATTATTTATTGGCTAGATCTTCAAAATAATTTAACACAAAAAGTAAATATATGTTTAACAACACAAAATATATATTTAAAAGAATTTCTTTTTTGATTTTTGTTTTATTTCTTATTTTAAAGATTATTAAAGAAAATTAATTTAGATTCTTTTAGATCAAGATATTTTATATTCTCTTTTCAGAACATATATATATATATATATATATATATATATATATATATACATACATACACGTGTTAATCTTCATATTATTTTGTACATATATTTAAGATCAAATTAATATATATATCATTGTTCTCCTTTTAAGCTAATATTACATTTGTCATACGACCAATTTTTTAAGAATATTGATTTGCTGCGGGATAGTAATTTATTGATTCTTCAGAAACTTTTTATTCTGCAGCCAATTAATATGTTTAAAGAATTTATCGTATGACAAATGTGATATTAGCCTTATACCAAATAAATTTGATCCGAAATATTTTCGACGTTATCTACAAGATATTTGCAATTAAAATGGGACACTTCACATGTTACATGGAGCAAACACATCAAGTGCAAACACACTTAACACTGCATGAAAATTTTGCAGAAAAATAACCAGCATTTTCATTTGATTTCCTTAAGTGTTTAATAAAGAAATAAAAGAATACAGCTTACATTAACACTGAATATAAATAATCCACGGTCTTGTATTTTTCATTAATATATTTTCGATACCATTCGATACTGTATAGAGTCATCAAATATATGAGTGAGTAATGCTTCATACGATGTATTAAAAGATATAAATTCTCTCCATTAGCAAAAGTTATAATTGCGTTTGCGCAAGAATATGCGTTAAAAATATATTGCTCGCATATATTAAGGTAATTTGGACTAATTCAATTTCATCTATATAATGAATATATAATTTGATAATTGGTATATGATCATCTTTACAATAATTGGTGTGTAAAGATATTGATCGTTGAAAATTGACAGAGAATGTGGAAAGAAATAATTCGAGAATTCAAAGGTTTATTTAACAGTTATCGCAGTTCTTTTGTAAAATGTACGCGGCAGAAGAGCATTATTACAAAGTGAATCGAGTACTTCTTAAGATTCTTGGTTTATGGCCCTATCAGCAATCATACTTTACACGAATATATAAAGTGCTGTTTGTTGGTCTTCTTTGGACATTTATTCTTGTTCAGGTATAAATGTTGAGTCATAGAATTTTCAAACTTTTAAACAATGTAGTTATATTTAGATAGTGGTATATATTAATTATACATTAAATTCGAGAAAAACTTCATTTTTTTCCAATTTATTAATATATGATAATTAATTTACATTCACATATATCCTACACACTAGACTGCAATCAATCCTAAAGATGTTGTTTTCTATCAGTTGTTAGTATTCGTGACAACACAATACAGTATGAACCTTCTCATCAAGATTCTTTCAATAGTCTTTCCTATTCTTTTCGTTACTGTTAAGTACTGTATGTTTATGATTCAAGCTGACAGTGTAAGTTCAATATGATAGATCATTAATTGAAATATTTTGTTGTAACATTTATAAAATAAATCGCATTTAAACTATTAATAAAGGCAAATATTTGAATGAACAGGTGAAGAAAATGTTGGAACGAATGCAAGATGATTGGAGATTATTGAAGAATAAATTAGAAGTTGATATTATAGAAACATATGCTTACAATATACAATTTTCTTCAATAGTTTCAATAGGTAAGAATATAATATATATTGTAGGATAAAGAATATATTATTTATTTCGTTAATCTTTTTTTTGCTTTATACGTCAAACATATTCGGGTTGAGAGCAACATAAGGCAAGAAATTCTGGCATTGAAAACACTTCTTTATATAACATAACATAACATTTGACTTAAATTAGATCTAACATTTTTCAGTGATTGTTGTTTTTTGCTCTTTCTTGCTCTTCATACTTCAATTTTTGCCATTAATTCTTGATGTTATATTGCCATTGAATGAATCACGGCCTTTTCGAACTTTTATAATCACAGAATATTTTATCAGCCAAGAAAAATATATTTACATTATATTGTTACACGAGGTATTAGCATGTTTAATAGCAGTAATAGCTTTATATGGTACGTTTATAACAATTTTGACATATATGTGGCATGCATGTGCGCTATTTAAAATCGCAAGGTAAGCGATTACTTTTTTGACACTTGTTTTAAATCAGAAGTGAAATTAAATAAATATATATTTAAGTAAATTAATGCAGTTATCGGATAGAGAATGCTATCGAAAAAAATACATTAATGATTCCTATTTTTGGAAGACAGTACCTGTTTTATCAGAGGCTTGTACATGCGATTCTTATTCATCGAAGAGCAGTCGAGTCAGTATATTTTGATACTTCTGTCGACAATACTCTTTTTATATCTTCTTTTTTATTAAGAGGAGTAATCATGAAATTTTATCTCTATCGTTCATATATGTACTAATTGTATCTTTTCGATATATCGAATATATTCGATATATCGAAGAGATATATCTATAAATTAAATATGTGTTATAAATATTCATTCATTTATATAATTATTATATAATTTTATGTAATTTCTAATTTCTTTTGAAAGATACATTCATAGTTAGCAATATGGTATTTTTTAAATGTGAAATCTTAGATGTTGTTAGTAAGGTCAGATAGGATTAAATTATATTTTAAGGGTTAAATTATATTATATATATATATATATATATATATACATATATATATATATACATTGTTCATATAGCAATATAACACATATTATTCTAATTAAATATATTTATCAAATCGTATTTATATATTGATAATATCAATATGTAGTTCCTTCTTAAAGATTTACCAAACTTATTTCGTTTAATTTTACGGTATTATTCGCTATTCTTATCATTGTTGGGGTCAGTTCTTTAAGTATCAATCTTTTTCAAGTAAGTGTGTTGTGTGTGTGTGTATTTTTCTATCCTACGCTTTTTATTTAATTCATTAAACCTTCCGTAATTTTTTAACAGCTAACATCAATAAACAATAGGAGTTTTGAAGATATATTTATAGTCATTCTACTCATTGTTATACATATAAGTTATATGTTCATTGTTAATTACGGTGGACAGAAAGTAACAGATCATGGAATGGAAGTATTTAAAGCAACGTAAGTGTATCATATTTTACAATATGTTTTTGGAATTATATGTATATTATGTATATTATATCTTGGTGCAAGTATATATTCGATTTAAACCGATTTCACATTTTATATGTATGCGTTACAGCCAGTAATTATATTATATTAAAAATCTTTAACGATTAACTTTTTTTCTATTTTGTAACCAGTTTTCTTTAAATCTATCATTCCAAAAATTGCAGTTATAATGGATTGTGGTATATAGCACCATTACATACACAGAAATTATTATTATTTATAATGCAAAAAGGAAATATAAATGTTACTATAATATTTGGCCGTTTATATATAGTATCTTTGGAAGGTTTTGCTTCGGTAAAATCAAAAAGTTTCTTTAACAATAAAATTGAATTTTAATTTGGATTTAAGAAGTTTATTGTACCAATTTCAGCTTACAAATGCGGCAGTATCTTATTTTATGGTGATGCATTCTACACGATAATAACGTAGCAGAAAAAAAATATATATTTATTATCAATCGGGTAATTTATTGAAGTGAAATAAACAATCATGCAACATATGTGCATTGTAAAGTTTTTAAATAACATGTTTGAATAAATATGTACAGAATATAAAATTTTACAAGATGTTTTCTTCGAAATTTGATGCGCCATATAAAAAAATGTTTTAGACAAAATTTATAAAATTTTGAAAGAAAAAAATTACAAAATTATTCCTCGTATTAAAAATTAAAGTCAACTAAAATATGAATTCTAATAAATTACAAAATTATAAGAAATATAAAAAAATTAGAAATTTTGAAAAAGAAGAAAAATTATAAAGTAAAAAAACGAGTGCCACGCTACATCCTATCACATCCTTTTCGTGACGTACTCTGGGACCATAAAATATTTTATAAAATTATCTTATATCTTAACTGGCTTATGGCCTTATCAGCAGTCATATCTCACGCAAATATATAAAATATTGTTTGCCGGTATTCTTTGGACATTTATTCTTGTCCAGGTATGCATTCAGTTACATTTATAATTTTTGTGAATTGAGTGTGATAACATTAATTAAATACGCATATTAATAGATATTTTGGTTTCATTTCCATTTTCCCCATTTAATCATTTTATTTTTTTATATAATATATAATTTTTATATCAAATAATATTATAAATTTAGAATTTTTTTACGTAAGAGATATAATATAAGAGATATAATAATATTTTTCATAAATTTTTAAAAAGCAACAAATATCATAGTAAATTGAATAGATTTTGGAATGTCTTTCTTGATTTTTAATATGTGATATTTATAAAAACTTTGAAATGAAAGCTTCTCGTACTATCATATACACGTACATACACAAAATTTTTATATACTGATTATAAGTATTTCTGCGATTTATTTTTTTCTCTATAATATTTTATAAAAAAATGCTTTAAGAACTTTATTTATCGCATAATAAAACGAATTTTATATGTAAAACATATTTTTTATGTGAAATAAATATTGTTCCTACACAGTTGCTGGTATTCATTATGACTCAATATAATATAAATCTTCTCAAGATTCTTTCACTCGTCTTCCCTACTTTTTTCGGCACTATAAAATATATCCTTTTTATCATCAGGCAGATAGTGTAAGTCCAACAAAATGAGTTATTTATTCAAATATATAACACACTTATAAAAAGAATTATATTTTAATTACTGATAAGGGAAAAAATTAAACAGGTGAAACAATTATTGGAACAAGTTCAAAATGATTGGTGATTGTTGAAAAATAAATTGGAAATTGATATTATAGAGAAATATTGCAACTCCAGACTTTTTACAATGATTGTGATGGGTATAAAAGAAGATACTAATATAATTATTCACAATATTGTTATTCGGTCGGTCCGGGACTTTTGGGACACCCTGTATAGTCGTATAGTTTGTAATAAAGATAACATCAATATAATATATGCAGTATGTATAATATCAATTTTTCAATTATCAATCATAATTTTTTGTGATTTTTGTAATTAACAAGATAAAAAATATTTGAATATATATTTGATATGAAATGTCGTTTAAATTCTTTACGTATTTAGGTATAAATTAGACTTTGACATCAATTAGATTTTTCTCAGGCTTATGCTGTTTTGTATTAACCGTGGTCGTAATACTTCAAACTTTTTCGCTAATATTTGATTTTATATTATTTTTGAACGAGTCACGTTCTTGGCAATTTTTTATCGTTACGGAATATTTTTTCAATCAAGAGAAATATGTATACGCAATACTATTACATCACATCCATAGCAGGAGTCACAGTGTGTAGCGCCAGTTCGACATTCTTAATGTTTCTCCTATATATATGTGCTCTATTTAATATCGCAAGGTAATATTAATTGCACTTGTTTCTTAAATCGAAATATGTCTAAATGGATTTATACAGTCATCATATAGAAAGTGCGATTAAGTGGAACATATTAGCAATATCTGATCCTAAAAGAGAGCATCTCCTTTACCAGAGGATTGTCCATGCAGTTATTGTACATCGTAGAGCCATCGAGTGAATGGTTTTATTTTTCTATTGCTATAAAACTTTGCACTCTGTTTTTTTGTGGTATTCTTAACTCCTAAAACCGCGTTATTGTTACACATGTTACTACATGTTTAATATTAAATTGTTTCTTAATATTTTTACATTAAGTGAAATCACAATTTTATGAGCAATTAAAATTAAAATTAAGTACTTTTCAAAAAATGAAAATATATTAAAGATTTGCAGTTTCTTTCAAATATGTGATGTATTTGATAAACATACATATTTAGATTGTTAAAAATACATATATTATCTTTTTGAAGTGGAATCACATTTATTTATCACATAGAAAAAAATGAATATAACAATCAGAATCACATTTATTTATCATTTATTTATCATTTATGGAAAAAAATGAATATATCAATGTTTGCATCTATCTATATTGATAATGTAACAATTTTTTATTGATAATATAACAATTCTAATACTTAACATCTCGTTGAAGGTTTACTAAGTTTTTCACATCTGAATTTGCTGTATTATTTGCTATTCTGATCTTAGTAGGTTTCAGCTCTTTAAGTTTAACTCTTTTACAAGTAAGCAATATTTTTTCTTATCTATTTTGTTTAATTGACTTTTCTTTAAGTACCATTTTATTGTAGTTTCTTCAATTGATAACATTAACGGGTAATGTCACAGAGATATTCGTATTTGCTTTATTAATTTTGATTCATTTAACTTATATGTTCTGTGCCAATTATGCGGGATAAATAATAACAGATCATGGAATAAAGCTGTTCGAAGCAACGTGAGTAGTGTGTTTTTTTTTTGACAATTTTATGCGTACCGATTCTCACATAAATCCATCTGTTAATTTTGGTTTATAATAAATCAATTGTATAAAATATTTTTCTAATACTTTTAAATATATAGTTAATATAATAATTAAATTACAAAAATATGTTAAGTTTTTTGCTAATTATTTTATTTCATTTCAAATTTACAGTTATAATGGATTGTGGTACGCAGCACCACTGCATACACAGAAAATGTTATTATTTATAATGCAAGAAAGAATAGTGGATATCAATATAAAATGCGGTGGCATATTTACTGCTTCCTTGGAAGATTTTGTTGCGGTAAAATTAAAAGCTTTTTTTAAAACAAATTATAATGTCGAACTAACAGACTTATCGAGTAATTTAATAGTTCGCATCCTTTTTAGCTCACGAATGCCGCAGTATCCTACTTTATAGTGATTTATTCTACGCGATAATAATGAACTAGGATAATTCATTATTTATCGGCTACATGTTTAAATTAACATAACATAATTAACATAATACACACATACACACACACACACACACACACACACACACACACATGCACACATAGATCTATACACATAAAGAAAAGATAAATGTGCATATATGTCCATTACAAATTTCTGCAATTTTATGTACTATATATAAATATATATTCTTTCAATCTTATTTCCAAATACTAATTCTAATTACTTCACTCTTATTTCCAAATATTAATAAATTTAATAAGGCAAATTTTTAAAGAGTTTGATAGAAGTATAATCTAGTTTGAGAATAATATACCAATAATCAAACGTCGAAACAATTATTAATCATATATAAGTTTATATATTAAATAATATCATGGTCACAAAATATAGAATGCGGTAACATATTTACTGCTTCCTTGAAAGGTTTTGCTACATAAAATGTTTTTTTTAAATAAATTATAATGTCGATTTAACGAAGACGATTACTAAATATATATAATGTTGATTTGACGAGCAATTTAATATATGTATCCTTTTTTAACTCGTAAATGCAGCAGTATTTTACTTCATAGTGATTTATTCTATACGCGATAATAATTAGAAAGGAAATTTATTATTTATTGGCTAGATCTTCAAAATAATTTAACACAAAAAGTAAATATATGTTTAACACAACATAAAATATATATTTAAAAGAATTTCTTTTTTGTTTTATTTTTGTTTTATTTCTTATTTTAAAGATTATTAAAGAAAATTAATTTAGATTCTTTTATATCAAGATATTTTATATTCTCTTTTCAGAACATATATATATATATACATACACGTGTTAATCTTCATATTATTTTGTACATACACTTAAGATCAAATTAATATATATATATATATCATTGTTCTCCTTTTAGGCTAATATTACATTTGTCATACGACCAATTTTTTAAGAATATTGATTGGCTGCGGGATAGTAATTTATTGATTCTTCAGAAACCTTTTATTCTGCAGCCAATTAATATGTTTAAAAAATTTATCATATGACAAATGTGATATTAGCCTTATACCAAATAAATTTGATGCGAAATATTTTCGACGTTATCTACAAGATATTTGCAATTAAAATGGGACATTTCACATGTTACATGGAGCAAACACACCAAGTGCAAACACACTTAACACTGCATGAAAATTTTGCAAAAAAATAACCAGCATTTTCATTTGATTTCCTTAAGTGTTTAATACAGAAATAAAAGAATACAGCTTACATTAATACTGAATATAAATAATCCACGGTCTTGTATTTTTCTTTATTATATTTTCGATACCATTTGATACTGTATAGATTCATCAAATATATGAATGAGTAATGCTTCATACGATGTACTAAAAGATATCGAAATTCTTTCCACGAGCAAAAGTTATAACTGCGTTTGCGCAAGAATATGCGTTAAAAATATATTGCGCGCATATATTAAGGTAATTTGGACTAATTCAATTTCATCTATATAATGAATATACAATTTTATAATTGGTATATGGCCATCTTTACAATAATTGGTGTGTAAAGATATCGATCGCTGAAAATTGACGGAAAATGTGGAAAGAAATAATTCGAGAATTCAAAGGTTCATTTAACAGTTATCGCAGTTCTTTTGTAAAATGTATGCGGTAGAAGAGCGTCATTACAAAGTGAATCGAGTACTTCTTAATATTCTTGGTTTATGGCCCTATCAGCAATCATACTTTACACGAATACGTAAAGTGCTGTTTGTTGGTCTTCTTTGGACATTTATTCTTGTTCAGGTATAAATGTTGAGTTATACAATTTTCGAACTTTTAAACAATGTAGTTATATTTAGATAGTGGTATATATTAATTATTCATTAAATTCGAGATAAACTTCATTTTTTTTAATTTGTTTATATATGATAATTAATTTACATTCACATATATCCTATACACTAGATTGCAATCAATACTAAAGATGTTGTTTTCTATCAGTTGTTAGTATTCGTGACAACACAGTACAGTTTGAATCTGCTCATCAAGATTCTTTCAATAGTCTTTCCTATTCTTTTCGTTACTGTAAAGTACTGTATGTTTATGATTCAAGCTGACAGTGTAAGTTCAATATAATAGATCATTAATTGAAATATTTTGTTGTAACATTTATAAAATAAATCGCATTTAAACTATTAATAAAGGCAAATATTTGAATGAACAGGTGAAGAAAATGTTGGAACGAATGCAAGATGATTGGAGATTATTGAAGAATAAATTAGAAGTTGATATTATAGAAACATATGCTTACAATATACAATTTTCTTCAATAGTTTCAATAGGTAAGAATATAATATATGTATATTGTAGGATAAAGAATATATTATTTATTTCGTTAATCTTTTTTTTGCTTTATACGTCAAACATATTCGGGTTGAGAGCAACGTAAGGCAAGAAATTATGGCATTGAAAACACTTCTTTATATAACATAATATAATTTGACTTAAATTAGATCTAACATTTTTCAGTGATTGCTGTTTTTTGCTTTTTCTTGCTCTGCATACTTCAATTTTTTCCATTAATTCTTGATGTTATATTGCCATTGAATAAATCACGGCCCTTTCGAATTTTTGTAATCACGGAATATTTTATCAGCCAAGAAAAATATATTTACATTATATTGTTACACGAGGTATTAGCATGTTTAATAGCAGTAATAGCTTTATATGGTACGTTTATAACAATTTTGACATATATGTGGCATGCATGTGCGCTATTTAAAATCGCAAGGTAAGCGATTACTTTTTTGACACCTGTTTTAAATCAGAAGTGTAATTAAATAAATATATATTTAAGTTAATTAATACAGTTATCGGATAGAGAATGCTATCGAAAAAAATACATTAATGATTCCTATTTTTGGAAGACAGTACCTGTTTTATCAGAGACTTGTACATGCGATTCTTATTCATCGAAGAGCAGTCGAGTCAGTATATTTTGATACTTTTGTCGACAATATTCTTTTTATATCTTCTTTTTTATTAAGAGGAGTAATCTTGAAATTTTATCTCTATCGTTCATATATGTACTAATTGTATCTTTTCGATATATCGAATATATTCGATATATGGAAGAGATATACCTATAAATTAAATATGTGTTATAAATATTCATTCATTTATATAATTATTATATAATTTTATGTAATTTCTAATTTCTTTTGAAAGATACATTCATAGTTAGCAATATGGTATTTTTTAAATGTGAAATCTTAGATGTTGTTAGTAAGGTTAGATAGGATTAAATTACATATTATATATTATATATATATATATATATGTATATATATATATATATATATATATACATTGTTCATATAGGAATATAACACATATTATTCTAATTAAATATATTTATCAAATTGTATTTATATATTGATAATATCAATATGTAATTCCTTCTTAAAGGTTTACCAAACTTATTTCGTTTAATTTTACGGTATTATTCATTATTCTTATCATTGTTGGGGTCAGTTCTTTAAGTATCAATCTTTTTCAAGTAAGTGTGTTTGTGTGTGTGTGTGTGTGTGTGTGTGTGTGTGTGTGTATTTTTCTATCCTACGCTTTTTATTTAATTCATTAAACCTTCCGTAATTTTTTAACAGCTAACATCAATAAACAATAGGAGTTTTGAAGATATATTTATAGTCATTCTACTCATTGTTATACATATAAGTTATATGTTCATTGTTAATTACGGTGGACAGAAAGTAACAGATCATGGAATGGAAGTATTTAAAGCAACGTAAGTGTATCATATTTTACAATATGTTTTTGGAATTATATGTATATTATGTATTTTATATCTTGGTGCAAATATATATTCGATTTAAACCAATTTCACATTTTACATGTATGTGTTACAGCCAGTAATTATATTATATCAAAAATCTTTAGCGATTAACTTCTTTTCTATTTTGTAACCAGTTTTCTTTAAATCAATCATTCCAAAAATTGCAGTTATAGTGGATTGTGGTATATAGCACCATTACATACACAGAAATTATTATTATTTATAATGCAAAAAGGAAATATAAATGTTACTATAATATGGGGCCGTTTATATATAGCATGTTTGGAAGGTTTTGCTTCGGTAAAATCAAAAAGTTTTTTTAACAATAAAATTGAATTTTAATTTGGATTTAAGAAGTTTATTGTATCAATTTCAGCTTACAAATGCGGCAGTATCTTATTTTATGGTGATGCATTCTACACGATAATAACGTAGCAGAAAAAAAATATATATTTATTATCAATCGGGTAATTTATTGAAGTGAACAATCATGCAACATATGTGCATTGTAAAGTTTTTGAATAACATTGTTGAATAAATATGTACAGAATATAAAGTTTTACAAGATGTTTTCTTCGAAATTTGATGCGCCATATAAAAAAATGTTTTAGACAAAATTTATAAGATTTTGAAAGAAAAAAATTACAAGATTATTCCTCGTATTAAAAATTATTATATCGTAAGAGTCAACTAAAATATGAATTCTAATAAATTACAAAATTATTAGAAATACTAAAAAATTAGAAATTTTGAAAAAGAAGAAAAATTATAAAGTAAAAAACGAGTGCCACGCTACATCCTACCACATCTTTTTCGTGACGTACTCTGGGACCATAAAATATTTTATAAAATTATCTTATATCTTAACTTACTATAGAAGAAACAATAGTGTCAATATTGAGTTTTACTTATTCGCTGTTTTGAATTTGAATAATTGTATAACAAATTCTTATATTATCGCACAATAAACCAAAATTTCACTTTTTTATATATTTTTATTTTTTTGTCCGTCATATTTAATCTAATATCATTTTTAATTTTAAAAATTTTATGAATTTTTATTCAGTTGCCTTGAAAACTATAGATTATATTATATTTATAGGTTATAATTTTATTTTTTTTATATATTTCCATCTTTTCATACATTATAATAAATCCATCATTTTAAATTTTGCCAATTTGAGATTTCAAATTTTTATTTATCTCACTTTATTTATCTTTTAATATCTTCGCCAAATAATACATATCATTATATTTTCAAATTTGTAAACATGATCATGCATAATTTTGGCTTATTTTGATGAATAAATTCTAACACCGAAGGAATTAAAAAAAACTATATATTCTTTACGCGATTTCATTCATTATATAGTGCATAAAAGTATTTAAGTGAAATAGTCAAAAAATATTTGACAAGATATTCGTAGTTATGATGTTATGTCGAAGTATAAAATATGCCATAAACTATTCAATTTTTAGCCATCATATCATTATATCAATTCCGAATACTGCGAGGTTTATAAATAAATTATACATACGTATTTCACAAAATCAGGTTATAATGTTCATATGATCTTGATACCTATATTCAAAATGAAATTCTCTTTCTTTTTCTCCATTCAATTAAATTTATCTCAAACGTTTCTCATAACACATCATTTACGAGATATTTAATGTGGACACTTAAAACACTATATATATATATATATATATATATATATATATATATATATATATGTTGTATATATATATATAATATATACATATAGATGTTATATTAATCAAACGACACACTTAACGCTGCCTGAAAATTTTTATATCAGCATGTTCCTTTGATTTTCTGAAGCAATAAAAAAATAAAAGATTATATATTGTAGTTATATTTATAATGAATGTATAAATCCATAGTTCTTTATTATTTTTAAATACAATCCATTTTCTACTCTATAAATTCACCAAATGTATGAGTGATTAATGCTTTCGTCGATTCACTGAGAGAGATATTGAAAGTCTTCCCACTAGCAAAACAAAACGATCATGTCTGCGCAAGAATATATAAAAATATATTGCCCTTACAAAGTGAGGTAATTCAAAATAATTCGCGCTTTCATCTATATCATAAATATATAACTCACAATTGTTGGAATACTACTCTCTTTATAATAATTACTGGCAATTATATCGATCGTTGAAAATTGAGAGAGAATATCGAGGGAAATAATTCGAAAATTCAAGGGTTCCTTTCTCAGTTATATTACTTTTGTCGTGTAAAATGCACGCGATAGAAGAACGTTATTACAAGATCAATCGAATAATTCTCAAGACACTTGGCTTATGGCCTTATCAGCAGTCATATCTCACGCAAATACATAAAATATTGTTTGCCGGTATTCTTTGGACATTTATTCTTGTCCAGGTATGCATTCAGTTACATTTATAATTTTTGTGAATTGAGTGTGATAACATTAATTAAATACGCATATTAATAGATATTTTGGTTTCATTTCCATTTTTCTCATTTTATTATTTTATTTTTTTATATAATATATAATTTTTATATCAAATAATATTATAAATTTAGAATTTTTTTACGTAAGAGATATAAATAATATTTTTTCCATAAATTTTTAAAAAGCAACAAATATTATAGTAAATCGAATAGATTTTAGAATGTCTTTTTTGATTTTTAATATGTGATATTTATAAAAACTTTGAAATGAAAGTTTCTCGTACTATCATATACACGTACATACAAAATTTTTATATACTGATTATAAGTATTTCTGCGATTTATTTTTTTCTCTATAATATTTTATAAAAAAATGCTTTAAGAACTTTCTTTATTTATCGCATAATAAAACGAATTTGATATGTAATACATATTTTTTATGTGAAATGAATATTGTTCCTACACAGTTGCTGGTATTCATTACGACCCAATATAATATAAATCTTCTTCTCAAGATTCTTTCACTCGTCTTCCCTACTCTTTTCGGCACTATAAAATATATCCTTTTTATCATTCAGGCAGATAGTGTAAGTCCAACAAGATGAGTTATTTATTCATATATATAACACACTTATAAAAAAATTATATTTTAATTACTGATAAGGGAAAAAATTAAACAGGTGAAGCAATTATTGGAACAAGTCCGAAATGATTGGAGATTGTTGAAAAATAAATTGGAAATTGATATTATAGAGAAATATGCTTGCAACTCCAGACTTTTTACAATGATTGTGATGGGTATACAAGAAGATACTAATATAATTATTCACAATATTGTTATCTATTCTATATATCCTAAGATATTTTAGGATCTAAGATATTTTAGAGCATACTGCAAGAGGTGATAGATCTTACCAAAAGAATCAATGTTTATCAAAAAACTTCGACATATCCTTAAAGAGCTACACGTTTCTGTTTGAACCGCCTATAAAGTAGGTAGGTAATCCGTCGTGCGATATATTGCACGTGATATTTAATACTTTGATACATATCTTTTAATTTTATTTCTGCTTTCTTTTCTTATTTTTTTTTATTTAAATGATTAATTTTTTTATTTGTGGATTAATATTCAGGTCCGAACAAGAACGCATAACTCTATGATGCATTGCAGGACATGGATTTCTTGACAAAAAATGATTCTCTTGGTGAAATTTACTACTTCTTGATCATTGTCCCATAGATCTTGAAATATATATGTATATATATATATATATATATATATATACATATACATATATACATATATACATATATACATATATACATACATATATATATATATATATATATATATATATACATGTACATATGTTATTATAGATGTCATATAATATTATTGTTTCTGTAATGTAATTTTTTTAATTACTTTTAATTAATAGACAGAAGGTATATTTGAGCGCAACTTAAAACTTATTGTTGAAATAATTTACATAGTTGGATTCCAATTAAGAAATTAAAATTTAAAACGATTTTTAGCGTTCTGTCTCTTAGGTGTAATATTTTGCACAATATTTCAACTTCTACCGATGATCCTTGATATTATAATTCCGTTGAACAAGTCACGCCCCTGTCAAATCATTGCAGTAACGGAATACTTTATTAACCAAGAGAAATACATTTACGCTATATTGTTGCACGAGATAATAACTGTTTTGATAATAGCGATCACAATATTTGGCACGGGTGCGACAATTATGATGTACATTTTGCACGCATGTGCACTATTTGAAGTAGCAAGGTAATGTCATGAATTCATGCACATGTATTCTCTCCTGTAACATATATTTCAATCTAAATATAGATTTATATAGCTACCGAATAGAAAACGCAATTGAAAAAAATATATTAGCGATATCTGATCCTAGAAGAGAACGTTTCCTTTACCGCAGGATTGTACATGCAGTTGTTATACATCGAAGGGCAATCGAGTTAGTATTTTTTATATGTCTTTATTATACATTTTATAGCATCCCGTATTTGTTATCAATTAAAATTCTTGTCAATTAAACTTGATGTCGGCATTTACACAGCACGTTCAATGCTTAATATTTCTTTTCGACACATATTAAAAATCTGAGTTACAAGTTAATTACAGTTCAAAATTGAATATATTATTGAATTTTAAATTTATATAATTTTAATTATGTTAATTTGAATTTGAAATATATACAAACTATATTTCAATAAATTAATTTTAATTGCATTTTGTTTTTAAAATTTTGGAAAAATCTGAATAAAATCTGGCAACTTAATCTTTAATAATAAATGTATGCGGTTGTAAAATATATCTAATACTTTACACATTGATTGTACGACAGTTATATTACAAACGTAATAATTATCATAAATGAATATATTTTGAAGTTCGCACTATTTATATTATTAATAGTTTCAATATCTAGCTCCTCGTTAAAGGTTTACCGAATTTTTAACATCTACTTTTATGGTATCATATGCTATTCTGATCATAGTTGGCATCAGCTCTTTAAGTTTCAATCTTTTTCAAGTAAGTAACATCTGTTTTGTCTCTTTTCCCCTTTTTTCTTTATTTTATTTAATTATGGACTGATCATTGAGCAATCTATCGTAGTTTCTTCAAATGGTAACATTAACAAACAATATTAATGAGGCATTCATATTCGGCATATTTATAATTACTCATTTAATATATTTGTTCTTTGCTAATTGTGCCGGACAAGAAATAACAGATCATGGCATAAAATTCTTTAAAGCAACGTGAGTATCATATTTTATTTTATAATACTTTTAAAAAGTTATATTTATAAATTTATTTTATATATACATATATATATATATATATATATATATACACATATCTGATATTGTTAAAAATACAATCAATTTCACAATAATTATAAATTATAAAATGGAAATAACTGTTTGCTAACTTACACAATTCCGATTCTAGCATTAAAAAAATATTTTTTTAAATTATTAATATTTAAAAATTACAGTTATAATGGACTGTGGTACGCAGCACCGTTGCATACACAAAAATTATTACTATTTGTAATGCGAAAAGGGAAGATAAATGTCACTATAGGATGTGGAAGCTT